ATCTACCAGGCACTGTGCTAAGACATCCGCTTATTAGCCCCACCCCACAGATGAGAAGACAGAGGAGTAAAGAATTCAGTAACACATGGATACAGAGTTTGAGTTTGGGAAGACAAATTGCGGTGCTGGCTGCGTGAAAATGTGAATGTACTTAATGCTTCTGGATTGTACATTTAATAATGGTTAAAAGGGTACATTTTATGCTATGTATTTTTACGTCACTGCAAAAACGAAAACCTTACAAATAAGGAAAGCACAGTTACCAAGTGGAGAAGCCAGGAGTCACACCCAGCAGTCCTGCCCCAAAGCTTTGTCCTTGCCCATCCACTATTTTGTCTCATTTGCAAGTGGAGATGCCAATCTGGCATAAGACAGACAGAGGCATTTGCTATCAGGCCGGGAAAGATGGGCGCTGGGGAGAGTTTTAAGTAGAGAGGGCAGGGTCAAATTTAAGAGTTGGAAAGTTCACTCAGGCTGGAAGGAAGATGGGCTGGAGGTGGGGGGAGGCCCAGGCAGGGCCGCTGGTGGTCTGGGCCAGCATGGGGCCGGCAGGGGGGAAGAAAGACTTGCAAAGCGAACAAGCCGGTGTGGAGGGGAGGCAGAGACGGCCCAGGCTGTGTGTGCTCTCACCAGGATCCTTCTGGCCTGTCCACTCCAGCCTCCTCTGACAGTGGGCCTTCCGCCCCCTTTCCCTGAGTGGCGGCTGGGAGAAGCCCAGGGCACAGACCTCCTCTCTGGCCTCCAGGGGGCAGTGTTGCAAAGTCTTCTGGGAGTTGGGGCCCTGACTTCAAACTCCCTGCAGGGGGGGGCCACAGGGGGGGTGATGCTGACTCTTCCTCCCTCTTCTCTCCCAGCCTTTGCTGCACCCCTCCCCACATCCTCTCTCCCAGGAAACAAATTATTAATAACCATAATCCTTCATGTCCCACACTTGACACTTTACAAAAGCACTGGTACATCCATTATGAGGTCATGTGGTTCTTCCCCAAAGACTGGGGAGGGGAGCAGAATGAGAGCCTTCCTTTTATCCCCTAACCACCGTTTTATAATAAGGAAACTGAGGACCAGGCAGGAAATGGGATCTAACCAAAGCCGTTGTGTTGGTGGCAGAGCCAGGCCTGGGAGCCATGGGCCAGCCAGTACCCAGTCTGGACCCTGTAAGAGGGCAAAGCCCTGCAGCGCCCCTACAACAGCAGCTGCTAGCAGGGGCCACCTAGCCAGCCTGCAGAGTCCCAAGTTTGCCCTGGAGCTCCCTCCCATCTCAGGGGGCCTTCTCAGTGATTTATTCCCATGGGGTTGTCAGTCAGATCAGACTACCTGGCACATACCTGCCATGATTTACTTCCTCCTCATCCTCTGCTTCCAGAATTACAAGAGTCACCCCATTACCATCGTCACCATATTAATAATGGCTCGTGTCTGCTTAGCTCTTAGAACTTAGCGCTAAGCCATCCATTAGCTCATCTGAGCCTTATGACAGCACTAGGAAGGTATTTCACAGACAAGGGCACTGAAGATCAGAGAGGGCAAGTGACTAGCCTCAGGTCACCCAGCTTAGCCTTGGGAGAGGTTACAATCTCCTGGGAGAGGGAAGCTATGCACATACCAAATTGAATATAGGGCAAGACGGTTGGGTTTATGGCCGCTTTGCCTGGAGGGCTCCTGTTATCTCGATTTTACAGATGAGGAAACTGAGTCTCAGAGATCTCCTTCCTGGGTCAGGATTGAACTGTCTGATTGATGCCCATGCTCATGCTGCCACTTTCAGGGAGGGATGCAGATTTTCTAGCATAAAACATATTCTCTCCAGCCTGGAGGGAGAACCTGGTGGGAAGTGGATGCAGTGGGATCCAGGGGCAAAAGGGCTTCCCAGGGAGGAACCTCCAGGGGAGTGTAAGTTGTAGAGAGAGCATGGCATGGGCTGTGCAAAGCTTGCTGGGCTGGAACAAACCAAGGCGAGCCAGGCTGAGGAGCCAGGCTGCGCACTCACCTGCCTGTAGACCTGTGCTTCTCCGCACACGGTTGGGAGATTTTCTGTTTTGACCTTACAGCTGTGCCAACAAAGAGGGATAAGGTCCTGAACCCTTGGCAGGATGGGGTCTGTTTCTCATCTGCCAGAGAGAGAAAGTGAAGCCACAGGAGAGACAGTGGCTTCCCTGTGGTATCTCCAGGCCTCGGTCTCCTGGTTGGAAAAAGGGAAGGATTGCATGAAATGTGCTCCAGTTTCTTCCTGTTCTGACCTTCTAGGTACCACGCGTCCATCTTTGCTGTCCTTGGCTCAGATCCCAGTCCCTGCTGTATATTTGACTTGTAGCTTGGGCAAGTCACATGGATTCTCTGAGTGTCGGGGTCCTCGTGGGTGAGATAAGTATGACACAGCCTTCCCTGGGCGGATTAAAGGAGCCATGCATGGGAGCGTGTCTATGTCTTGGGTTCTGACCCCAGGCAGCGGCTGGGGGTGGGGAAGGCTGAAACTCCAACTGAGGTCCTCACTTGTCTGCCCAGCCCAGGGCTCATTTATAGACATCCGCACCCTGGCTGCCAGGCTGAGGGGAAGTGGGAGCAGAGATGCTGAGATGGCAGTTTGGAGCCTTTATCAGGAAAGAGCTTCTGACTACTCTTCCCCTTCCCACCCCATCCTCCCCATCTTCTGGGCATTCTCACAGTGATAATCATGACAGTCCCGAAAGTGGGTGGTTTGATGTCACAATCTCCATTTAATAGATGAGAAGACTGAGACCTAGAGAGGAGAAAAGACTTGCTGCAAATCCCATAGCTAGTTAGTGACAGACTGGGACCAGAACTGAGGTCTCTAGTCCTGAGCTCAGCACTATTCCATTCCACCCAAATTCAGATAGTTCTATAAAATGAAGAGTGTCCTATTTTTCTTGGCTTGCAAACCCCCTACATGGGTTGACTTAAAGAAGAGAAGGCCTCGGGTTCTGCAAACAGCCCAGGGTTTTATGGACAGCATCAGACTTGACATGAGACACGGGACTGTGCACATGTCATGGGGCCTCAGAAACTGTGCAAACCATGCTGGGCTTTGCCAGCAGCGTGGGACTCGAAAAAAAGGCATCAAGTTTTGCAAACTGTGGGAATCCGCAAATGGTGTTGCAATCTACACACAGGGTGGGGCTCTGAAAAATGCACAGGGCTCGGCAAATGCCATGCTGCCAAATGGTGAAGCTGGGGTGCAAACCAGGTTGGTTGAACAAGCTGGGGCTACCCACATTGGGACCTCACTGCAGCATTAGCCCAAGAGCCCCCACCCAAAGGCCTTGTTAGCCTAACTCCCAGAAGCTCCTGGGTAGCTGCCCCTGTTCCAATTCTATAGCTGGAGTTCCGGAATATTCTTGCACTGGGCTATCTCAGCCTAGGGAGACTGAGGTGATAAATGAAGAGCATGCATATCTGAGATTATTGTATGTTCCATGCTTTGTGGGGTGTTGGGCATTGTTTCTCCCAAAGATTGATGAGATCAACTTAGCCAGCCAAGCTGGGCCCAGTGTATACTCAGGCCAATCCATGTATAGAATTTTCTAAGCCTCTGAACCCAAGATGGAGGCAACCGAGCTTCCAGAAAGCCTATAGGGACCTTCTCTCTCTTAACCATGCATCTACACTTAAGAGTCTGAAGGTTGCATCTCTGCCAGTCTCTATGAAGACTCACAGTGCTGACTTTAGTCTGAAGGATTTAGAGAAATAGAACCAATCTGGTTTTCTCAAGTAGGAATAGGACCTGGTCTTTATATCAATCGGAGCCAACTATTGACCTTTCCTAGTAGAGTGGCCATGCATTCACATTTCTGGTTTCTCAAAGACAGGTCATGCAACAAGTATTTATTGAGTGCTATTATGTGCCAGGCTGCACATTGATTATTTCAAATGCTCCCCGCTTCCCACCAACCCCCTCATATAGCCCCTGGGAGCCAAGTGGGGTCGATGTGTATTTCTCTTATCATTGCACCTTAAAAGTTGGATTCCAAACCCACAGCCCCATTTCAGCAAAGACCCTGTTCCTAGAATTGGGTCAAGTTTACTTCTGGATCCATTTTGGATTTGGGGAAACCCAAAGATCTTCCTCAGAAAGTACCTGGGTAGAGGAAAAAGCCTGGTTCTAGCACCAGAGGTTCAAGGCATGGCCCCACCACCTACTAGCTGGGAGATCTCTGGGTGGTTACTGAGATTCAAGACCTCATCTGTAAAATAGAGGAATAAATATCTGGCCTACAGGGCTGATAGGAAGACACGGTGGGGCCATACATGTGAGAGAGCTGAGGCAAGCTGGCAAAGGCAAACTGATAGGTTTCCTCTTGCTGCTCTGTTCTGAGCCCTGCCACAGTGGCTCCCTTCTTTGAGCTCCAGGCATTCAGGCTTGGCCTTTTGCTTGCTTGCTGAACCTGCACAGCAGCCCTACAAGTGAGGGGCCCTCTGTCCCTTCTTTATGGATGAGAGAAATGACACTGAGAGGTGCAGAAACCTGTTTGAAACCACGTGGCCAGTGAATGACAAGGCTGAGATGAGTCCCTCAAGGGGGCCGGCCATCGTGCTTCCTGGTGAATGGACTGACTCCTTGCTCCAGATCCTCAGTGTTCAGAGAGGAGATGGGGGTTTAGTGAGAGGGGGTGAGATCTTGAGAGGGACCCGGGTTCTGGGAAGGGGCACACTGTGGGAAACAGAGGCTCTCTGCAGGGCTCATGGAGGGCGACAACATTTCTGTGATGGGGGACGAGAGGGTGGTGGGAGACAGATTGAGATCAAGGGCGCAAGAGGAAACTGGAGAATCCAGACTCACTGAGATGAGGGCTTGGAAACCATCAACATTCCCTCTGCCCACCAGCCCTCTACTGCTAACAGAGGAACAGAAAGTATCCAGGGGAATGCTGAGGCCAGAGGATGTGAAGGAACAGCTGAGGGGAGGTGACACAGCAGCCTCCTCCCAGCAGCGGGGCTGGATGGAAACAAACCCAGCCTCCTGCACCAGTCTGGCCCTGGGCTGTCCCAGCCAAAGATCAGAGGAATTCAGAGAGAAAGAGAAGGGACAAGTGTCAGGCTGAGGCAGGCCCTTGGGGAGTGGGGTCAAGTTTTCGGGAATTCCTAACTCCTCTCAGAAGAGGTGGCTGCTGTCCAGTGTGGCCCGAGCAGCATCGGCTAAGTGCCTGGAGTCTCCACATTGCTGCCTCCCTTCTGTGGCTTGCAGCTGCTGTCTCCAGGGGCCCCGGACAAGGTCTCACTCCGGCTCAGCCCCACTCCCGAAATTGAAATCGGGGGTGGAACTCACTGCACCCCAAAAACCATGGGACCCAGGATAGGTAAGTGCGGATGAAATTAAAAAGGGGCACTGGGAGAGGGTCTGGGGGCTACCTTTCCAGTGCGGAGGGTGAGGAGCCAATATGGGTGCACTTGGGTGGGGTGGGGGTCTTGAAGTTCTCCACATGGAGCCCGCCAGAAGACCAGACCTAGCGAAAGTGTGCTGAATGAATGAGGGAATGACTGAAGGGGCAGGAAGGGACGCTGTTTACTCAGCTGGAGGCAGGGAACCCAGCCTATCTGCCCTGAGGAGACAGAGACCCGGAGAGGACAATGGAAATTCAGGCCACTCGAGCTCCTCCTCACCGAGCCCTGTTCCCTCTTTGAATCTAGCAGAGATAAAGACAGACAAAGCCGAGAAATATGGGGATACAAGCGTAGTCAGAGACACAGCAAGTCTAGAGATACGCAATCAGACAAAGGCTGGGACAGAGGAGAAGACAAAGACCAACAGGTGTCTGCAGGAGCGTGCAGGGACCGGCAAGGAGGTCAGCCCCAGAGAGAGAAAGCCGCAAGAAGACACCGGGAGAAATGGGGAGAAGCAAAGGAGCGCGTGCGAGAGAACCAGACAGAGACAGACAGGCACACCTGCCACAAAGAATTGGAAAGATCGGCACAGAAGAGACGTGGATTCAGAGAGAGACTTGCAGAGCCCGGCCTGGAGTGTGTGTGACAAGCGCCACGTGGAGAGGGTGGAGAGGGCGGCTGCGGTGGCTCTGGGAACGGAGCGCCCCGCTGGGCATTTCGCGTGCAGGCAGGCGAGGGAGGTGGAGGAAACAAAGGATCTTCAGACCGGGTGCCCTGTGGGGTGCCCTGCGGTGATCACCTCTGGCCTCCTTCCAGCTGCCTGTGTGAGTCTCACACCCACTCAGGCAGGACTGAACCTGCTCCCTGGCTCGTGTGTGAGGCAGTGAGGGCTTTGCGGGCAGGGCTGGGGACCATGGCACAGCAGGAAGGGTGGGGTGGATGCATCCTCTGGGGGCCTCACCGGAGAGCTGACAATGAGGTCAGATTTGGGTGGGTTGGTTTAGAGATGGGCCACTGACAAAACAAATTCCCCATCAGCTCTGGCTTGCTGCAGGAAGGGAGGGTTGGTGACCCTACAGGTATGGGAAGAAACTAGAGACTGGCTGTTTTGTGCAGAATAACAGACCACTGTTATTCTGACCCCTGTAGGGCTCTGGAATATTATCTAGCTGTCCTCACTTCCTGCACAGACAGCAGGAGGCTGACCCCACTGTCTGCCCACAGGGCCACCAGAAGCCACCTCTGGCCTTGCTTCCTAAGCCCCACCCTGAGCTGAGGCCAGGCTTCCCCCATGCTCTTTCTGGTCTGAGGGCACTCTGAGGGATGTGGTGATGCAGGTGGGGCAGGGTATAGAGATTGGAGCCTGGGAAGAGCAGGGGCCAGCTTACCTGAGGGAGCGGGGTCAGCTGTCCTGGCCAGGGGTAGGCACCAGAGAGAGGAGTCAGGGTCAGATCTGGCTCTCAGCCCAGCCCTATCACCAACTCACCACGTGCCCTTAGGCAAGAGGCACAGCTTTCCCTGTCTGTGGGGGAGGAGTTGGAGAAAATGATCTCCCAAGGCCATTCCCCTTTTATGATTTCAGAGAGGCCCCTTTCTCACCTCTGCCTCTTTGCTTGAAGCTTTTACCTCTACCAGAAAGGTATCTGTCTACGTTTCTTCAGCCATTCTGGTGAAATTTGCCATTTGCCAACTCCTCCAAACATCAAGTCCTCCAGGAAGCCTTCCAGACTGATTCTCCCAACTAGAAGTAACCTTTCTCACATATGCTGCTTGACTTCCCTTTTTTGAGGTTCATCCTTTCTTGTTCCTCATATCATTTCTGTTGCTCTCCAGCCGTCCTGGGTTCAAAGTATGTCACTCCAGTGCAGATAAGTAGGGGAAGGGAAAGAACCAGCAGCCCTGGGTTAAAATTTGAGGTCTGCGTCACTGGCTTTATGAGAATGCAGTGACATACTCTCACCCTTTTTAATAGTTGAGGAAACAGATGCTCAGGGAGGGCAAGTGGCTTACCAAGGTCACCCAGCAAGGGAGCAGCAGAGTGGGGGCCAGAACCCAGATTGTCCTGATGTCAGAGCTCTTTCCTCTCTCTACCATTAACCTTGGGGATCCCTCCTGTTTTCCATAGACCCCACACTAGTGAGATTCCACCCACTTGGGCACTTCACTGGTTCCAGACAAAGTGAACTATTCTCTAGGTGCTAGTGACTGGGGAGTGAGCAGGGTTGTGGATAGTTATTTCCTCCCAGGCTAGGCCTTGCCTACTGGGCCAGATATCGGGCAGCTGTGAACCGGATGGCAAGCTTGCCTAGACCCTACAGTCAGGGGCCAGGCATTCAACACCCAGTCTGCTTTTGTCCCCTTCTGGGACTCACTTTCTCTGGGCAGTAGATGGAGGGGGTTGTCCAAGGTGGTCATCTGGTCTCTTCCTGCACTGAGAAGCTCAGTCTTCTGTCTCTGGAAGGAGCAGTGCAGCAGAAGCCTCTGTAGGGGAAGGGTCAGGTCTCCCCATCGGTGTTAGAGGGGCTTGGCTATCCCCAGGGTGCCAGCCTGAACTTCAACTGCACCCTGGGGTCAGGAAGAAGTAAAGAAGTAAACTTTGTCCCTGCCATCCCTCATGGGCTGCAGGCCAGAGCCCAAAGCACCAATGCTTGAAATGATGGAGAACAATGCCTGCCTCACCAGAAAGGGAGCTCCATGGGGGTGGGGCCAGATTCAATCCATTCTTGGGGCCCCAGATCTCAGCAAAGGCTGGGCAGACATGAGGCATTGGGAAAGTCTCGGTACCTAAGCTGTCCTCCCTCCACTTCATGCCTCCCCCCAAGACATTCCTTCCTTCCCTCCAACCTGTTTTGAAAACCTGCCCTAGTTGAGGACAGGAGACTCATGATGTGGATGGAGTGCAGCTGGGTATTATAGGGCCCTAGGGAGGACATGTAAGCACATAGAGAGGTGAGCTGGGACTCATGGTTGGGAGGCAGTATGGCCAAAGCCAATGCACACTTCTCTCTGAACCTCAAGCTCCATGTTTTAGGCCAAAGGAGACTGGCCTGAATTCCCTATGGGCTCAGGGCTCACCCTCCCCCCAGACTTTCTTCACTGTTTTTAAGATCATCATGGGTCTAGATGGGATAGCCAGGACTGGAACTGGGAACAGAAAGTCCCAGTACAGGGTGCCTGACCCAGCTTGGAAACCACCAGAAAGTGCTTGGCCTCCTCCCCCACCCTGCATGGATCTTCCTCAAGAAGCAACAGCTGGGACGCCTGCAAGAGCTAGACCTCAAGCATGCTAATATCCTCCCAACAGACCCCCCAAAGTCCTGCCAGGAGGAATTTCTCAAAGATGACAACCAAGCTTTTCGTGCCTCTGAGTCTCCCTCTCCAGAAGCTCACTAGGCCACACTGGGAACCGGAGCACCCCCACCCAACCTGGGCCCCTCCTCTCACATTCCCATGCTCCAGCCCTGTCTTCTCCCTCACTCAGCTTAGCTCAATTCAACAGTCATGTTTTTAAGCTGAACCAGGCCTTGAAAGATGAGAAGTGGTCCGCTGGGGAGGAAGGACACTCCAGGCTGAGAGTACAGTGCGTGCAAAGGCAGAGGGGTGAAAGGAATAGGATGATTTTGAAGAAGGGCAATCGTCTATGGGGCCAGAGAATAATGTTTGCTAGGGGTGGATGAGACAGGAGCTGTTCCTAGGGGCCTTGACCTTTTCTTTCTTTTTTTTTTTAAGATTTTATTTATTCATGAGAGACACAGAGAGAGAAGCAGAGACATAGGCAGAGGGAGAAGCAGGCTCCCTGCAGAGAACCGATGCCACACTGGATCCCAGAACTCTGGGATCACACCCGGAGCCAAAGGCAGATGCTCAACCACTGAGCCACCCAGGTGCCCCAAGCCTTGACCTTTTGAGGCTTGGTGGCTGAACTCACATGTTGCAGATGAGGTGGGAAAGGAGGAGGGGGCCAACTGTTGTTGAGGACTACACTGTACCGGGCATGGCATTTTCTTTCAATTCCACAAAACCCCATGAGATGGGCTCTCTTCTCTCACTTCCAGGGAAGGAAACTGAAACTTACGTTGACTGACTAAGCTGCCCAAGGTCACATAATCTGATGTGGCAAAGCAAATATTTGAATCCAAAGTCTTCTGACCCAGAGGGTTTCAGTGGGACTGGACATGGTCCATTAGGACACAGGATGGGATAGGTTCTGCGCTGGGGAGTTGACTGCTTCATCGGGGGACATAAGCAATACAGGAGAGTGACGAGCACTGCAACTCAGAGGAGAGTCTGAGGGAACTGGCCAGGAAAGGGTTTTACAGAAGGAAAGACAGCTGGCATGGGCCTCAGGAGCTAGGCAGGAGAGAGCAGCAAGCCGAGGACATACAGAGCCATCTAGGAGGTAGGAAGAGCTGAAGGAGCAGGTTGGCCATGCTGGCCTCCTTCTACTCCAACACTTCTGGAGAGGTATCTGTAGAGGTATGTCATTGTTATGAGGAACAGATTGCCCAATATCTGCTTCTGGGAGTATTTCCCTTCCCAGGCTCGGGCTGTGGGTGTGTCAGTGCTGGAAGCTATTAGGTTTTCCAAAAACATCTTGGCGCCTTTGTGACTCTGTCCCCCACCCCCCACCTTGGCACCTGAACACAATTGCAGTGTAGGTTTCTCTTTTCGCTCTGTTCTCTTCAGATGGGGCACATGGCGGAGGCATCTCACTCTAACTGGGCAAGTTGCCCACTTGTGGCTACTGTTACCTTCTTTCCACTCTTGTGTCCAGACAGCCAGGGAGCTGACGCTAGCCCATATTCTTGCATGAGCTCTCCTGGAGCCCACAGCCTCCTAGACATCTCTCCCTTGGTGCCCCCTTGCCACCCCAAACTCAACCATGGCCATGGCCAAGGCTGAACTCACCACCCCCTTGCAATCCTGACCCTCAATGGTGACATACCCAGATACAGAGCTACGCTCCTCCCTGCTC